CTTTCAGATGAATCCAGTCGGAGTTATATGAAAAATTGTCCTGGCTATTCCAAGCTCTATCATTGCAGTCAGCGGGTGTTGCAGTTGAACAGTCCACAAGTCGTCAAATAAAGTGCGCGCATTCATAATAAAACGTGCCTCACACGGCTCCAGGGGGTGAATAAAGGCCTTCTGTAGTGAATCCATGCGTTTTTGTAAGAAAAATATCCATATTTCAAACATAATAAACACTTTTCTCTCACTTCCGTTATCTGTCATATGCGGAAGCCGTTCCGGCGGATGACGCAGCACATATGCGCAGCGCGCGCGCCTCTGAGATATGCTAGTCTCACGAGTTTAATTCTAGGAGCAAAGGAAGCAAAGTTTCCTTACTTTAGCAAAGGAAAACCAGTCTCCTCTCAGCTTATATCGAAATCCTCCGACATTCTTCTTTGCAAATCTACGGTTTGTACTTCTAATTCGTGACCGGCGTTTTGTTTTGTTGTCTCTCCGCGTTCGTCACTAATCACGCAACGCATACGTGCTGCGTCATCTGCCGGAACGGCTTCCCCGTATGACAGTTGGCGGAAGTGATATAAAAGTGTTTATTACGTTTGAAATATGGATATTTTTCTTACAAAAACACATGGATTCACTACAGGGGGCCTTTATTCATCCCCGGAGCCGTCTGCAGCACGTTTTATTATGAATGCGCTCCCAGAAATGATCGTAATGCATTCAGATTTTTTAAAGTATCATTTTTGTCATTGTGATTCTCATAGTAATGCATTAATTTTATTAAAGTAAAAAAGAAAACCATGATTTAAATGAAATCATAACACTACAATGACAATGACAATATAAAATTTAAATGTAAATTATTATATTATGATTATGATTATATATTATTGTATTTTACTATAAATGTGTTTGTTAAATTAATATTTACATTTAAAATAGAATTTTGAATTCATCTTTACAGTAATAAGAATAAGGATCTAAATGGTCCTATAATTAGGTTTCTTTATGCAAAAATATAATTTTTGTCATTATTTTCTTTTAATTTGGGGTGAAATATGATTTCAGACATGTTCTTAGACCACTGCTGGATAGTGAGGAATTTTTGAAAGTCTTGTAACAACAACTGCCAAAAATATGAATGTAAATGTCAAATCAAGTGAACTGCGGTTCACACAAGCAAATATGCCTTTTAATTTTTCTGCCTAGGTTGCACAAATCTGTTTTGAGGCAGGATTTCCCCCTTTAATTGCTGAACTTCTGCTCTTTATTTGTGTGGGATAAACTGGAAAGGCTTTATTTGTGTTTCCAGTATGAGTTTGTGTCATTACAGCAAAAAAAAAAAAAAAACACCATCATAGATTGGTTTTGTTTTCCTGTAGTTATTTTTTTGTTGTTGTAGTGCCTTTAAAGGCATAAAACTAAAAAAAAAAAAAATTATGAAATTATTTCCAAACCTGTTTGACTGCTTTCTTGTCTGGACAACAAAGCAAATAATGATAGAAATGTCATATTTGGGTGAACAGTCTCTTTAATTGATTGTGTGTTGAAGACCCTCACAAGTGCAACATTAAACCTAAAAAGCTTCATTTTTATTTTCATACAATAGAATTTTGATACCAAATTCTGCTTGTTTTGTCCAGATCGATACGTATAATGTGAGTTATACAAGATCAGTTGCTTTCTGGTTGAATTTTATCAGGTGTTTGGTGACTCAGTCAAGTGAATTGTTCTGAAAGCGTTCGTTTTATATTTTTACAATAAATTTCATATTTAAAGGGTCATGAAACCCCCCGTTTCAGCACTGGTTAGTTCTCACCACAGTTTTTAAAAAATGCTGAAAACGTGGGCGTGGTGCGTAGCGGAGCCGAGCAGTGTTGCCAGACATACGATAATTATCGTATTTGTACGATAATTTAGACCTATGTAAGATGTACAATCAATAATGAAAAAAATCCCATAATGTACGATAATTTCAGAATTTTGTGAAACTTCAAATGGTGGTCGTTGTAATCATAGGGCTTCTTCTATACTAATTTATTTAGCTGTGGATCCTACGTCCACAGAAGCACTATGTTGCCAAATCTGTACCGCAAACGGACCCCCACAACATCTGGCAACACGCAGGCTTCTGATAACTGCGACTGAGAGGTGGAGTTTGGACCTTCCCACTTACGTACGCCTAGTTATTTATCTATTGTGGTAATTTGCAGGTCGTGTCAAAAAGTTGTTGGTCTAGAACAGTGTTTCCCAACTGGGGTGCCGCAGCATTTTTTAATTACTAAAATGTTCAAAAAAGCAGCTATTATATAATATCCATTTCTGATGTCGCCAATAATTAGAGATGCACTGAAATTCCGGCTGCCGAAAATGAGTTCACCGCTCAGGTTTCACTTTCACGTGGTGTGACGCTCTGCGTATTATCCCGCTCTATGCGTGTGTGCTCCGCTCAGTCGCTCGCGGCCCATGTGAGTGCTCCACTCATATACCGTTCATGCTCATCGGAACAGCAAAGTCCACTCAAAACTTGAGCTGACAGGAAACATCGATGTAGTACAGTATTGTTTCTGTCTGCAATAGCCCTACTGTGCTGTAACAAGGTGTGGTATATGGGCAACTCTGGTAACACTACCCTCTCATTCACTGATCTGCTAACCGCTATGTTATGCTCACCTGTCCTCTGATAATAATAGCTTTCTAAGATTAAACATTATTTGGATAATTGGTAAAAAAAAAAAAAAACTACTGTTAGACCTACTCTAGATAAATAGCTATTCTGTACGTTTGACTCGTGTAGGATAATTTCCTTCCAAATACGATAATTTTGAACTTCTGGTAGGATACTTGGGCATTTCCAATCTGGCAACACTGGAGCGGAAGAGGGGGAAGAGGGGAGACAGACAGCACAGACAGCTTCTGGTTCAGACAGTTTCATTTCGCTCCCATCGAGTTAAAAACACAAATAAATGCACAGCCAT